CCACTCATGTTTTGTTCTTATGTATCTAAGTAGGTCCCTAGTGTCCTATAACCAATTCCGAATTTCTCTCTGGATGTCTCTGTCAATATTTCTTACTTTTAATGGATTTGATTATTAGATGGTAGTAAAAAGAATTGTAAGTGAAATAATTTTATTGATCATTGATGCCTCAAACTCGGTTTTCAGCCCCCAAAGCATGAGCTTACACAGACCATCAACCTGGTTTTTTACAGCAATTTTAGGTAAAAACGAAACCCTCCATTAACTCATTAGAATAGAAAAATAGAATCTATCCTCCAGCATAGAAAAGAGCATCCAATCTTTCAACTGCAGCTCCTTACAAACAAAGTTGTGAGCAGGCTAACATGCAAACATTTCTTTGGTAAATGAATAAAGTTACAAAAGGCCACCCATCATAAAGCCCTATCAACTGTTACTTTTGTTTTGCAAATGCATGCATCTCTTCTGTTCAATAAAACTTTATTATGTATCAAAAAAAAGACTTTATTATGATTTAGAAAATTGAAATCGGATCTTTGAAGAGATACTTATAATTGTTACAACATGGGTTAAAACATGAAAGCTTTTGATACGACAGTTTCAATTTGGAATTTGGAAATTTGAAGTTGAACCAACTCTAGGAGCTAGAGATTCATGCACCAGACTCAAATATGTACCGTCTCGTTCGTTTTAACAATAACTTTTTATGAGCAATATTGCTCTCTTTGAAGACTCATATGGATGTAAATGTAATGAAATCATTTGAGGAGTCTTGTCGAATACAAACGCTGGCCATCCTTGACCTGTCTTTTGAAGGTCATTGGCTGATCACCTTTGCTGCCGCTCTTTGCAGAAAACAATGTCCTTGAACTAAGGAATTTTGGATGACTTCAGCCATTGAGAGGGCAACACTTTCATTATCAGGCGCCCTTGATGAAGACTGATCATGGATACGGAAATCACGATAAAAGATTTCAAGGGTCCAATAATTTTGTGTTCACGTTCCTAGGATCCTAATATTTTCTCATATATATCCAAGCAGCCAATTCCGTGTTTTTCTCTACTGATTAATAGGCCCTTCCTATTTTTTTTTCTCAGATCAGGCAACCGAATCCATGTTTATCTCTTGCTGTCCCTGTCTCTGTTTCTATTTTTTCTTGATCAGTGCTATCTTCTAGTGATGAATAGACCTGCCTTAAATAATTAATTGATGGAATTAATTTAATTCAGTTAACTATTCAGTTATCAAATTAATTTTGATTAATTATTAAAAATAATTTTTTAGGAAAAATTTCAGTTTTTAATTAATTTGATTTGAAAATCGAATTAACTAAAATTTTAACCAAAATATTATAAAATTTATATATAAAATTAAAAATATATGAATCTTTCCATTTCATTTTAAGTTATTAATAATTTAGTATTTAAATTTTTATTGGATGATTCTAATTAATTTATTTCACATATAATAAAATAATAATTTAAAATATAATTTAATTTAATATATTTTATTATTATGCTAGCTAAAAAAATTAACAGAATTAATCGAATTAAATTAGGTTAGTTAATTTTTAAAATTAATAAATTTGATTCAATCAATAAAAATAAAATAAAATAATTCGACCAATTCGATTTTAGATAATTCAATTCAAAATTAATGAAACTGATAAAAAAAAATACCCCTAAATGCTCATGATAGCTGAAACCAGATCTAATAAGCCTTAGCCTGAACCGGCATCAACCTTCAACCGTGGTCTATATGGATGCAATTTTAATTGAATGGAGGACAGAGCCGTATAAATAATGGTTACTTCGGATTTGACTCATCTCCAGTCTAGTTGCCTATTTTTATTTTTCAATAATGTAAACGGCACATCATCAAATTTCACAAGCATATGCTTCAAATGATGGAGACGAATCATAGATTGAACTTTCTAATTTACCACTGAGGATCCAATTATCCAAATGATATTTAGATCGACCAACTGCAGCTGCTTCATATATTTGCATCCTTTCTCCTACAATAACAGTTAAACAAAGACTAAAAGGCTACCGTTAACATCCATTACTTGGATTCTTTTTGTTACTCATTAGGCTTCTACAAGTTGTATTTCAATAATTTTACCTAGCAAGGAATTTATTACAACATTTTGCTTATGTTCCAAGGTTTAAAAACCAAAGTGGCAAAATCTCGTGAATTCAGAGCTTTTGAGATCATTAAGCCACTTCTGTTTAGTTCAAGACCAAGCGGGGAGGGAAGAGATTGACCCTGGATCTTGATCTTCCATTGGAAGGGTAAGTTTACAGCTTCTACTCATTCCTTGAGTACTGCATAAGTCTGTTTTCCTCCCATAGGTTTAGTTTCTCTGGCAAAACAAATCTTCGCCATTGCAATCAATTGTAATCAGATTCAGACCATTTCCCTCAATTAAATTCGTTTGATTCAAATCACATCTTGTAATACTAATCCTTTGTTCAAGAATATCTTCTACGTATAACTAGAAAAGGCCCCCCGCCATTGTGGCGGGTCATTTATCTACCGATTTTTTTGTTGTGGTTAAAAAGATAAAAATATATATAAAAGATTAAAAAAAAAAAGAGATATAGAGTGTAATGTGTACACATCTTTCGATTTTTTTCTCAATAAAATTATCTAATTAAAAAAAATAAAAAACAAAAAAAAGACGTGGCATATTTTTTATATCAAGTGAATCTCATAAAAAAATTATAAAAAATTTATAAAAAATTGTAAAAAAAAAAAGAAATATTACTATAAGATAGGTCTCACTTAAAAAAAAATTAAATGGAAAAATTTATTAATATATAAAAATAAAAAAAGTAATAAAAATGTTTTATAAAATTTAAATTTTTAAATTTTTAAAAAATCCAGAAAAAAAGAAGAAATATCAGGTGATACCAAATTAAGCTCCATACGAAAACAAATTTGAATCAATGATGAATATTATAATATATATATATATATATATATATAAAGAAAAAGCTTGGTAAAATAAATCACACTAAAAAAATTAAAAATTTTAAATATATAATTATTAATTTTTTTAATTAAAAGAAAAGTAAAAAAAAAGGGGGGGGGGGGAATGAGGTTGTGCGGAGTGACACAATGCGAGGAGGATAAGGGTGACCGCACGTGAGCAAAATTAAATTGGTTCGGTGTAGCTCAGCCAGTGATTTGTAAGATAAAAGATATTAAGGCTCCATTTGGTTTCAACTGCACCTGCAGTGAGGTATAGTTGCCAATATAAATTGTATTCATTGGTATTTAACATCTATTTGGATGTCAAAGTTGTGGCACGATTGTCTATTTTTTTTCGCCGGAGGATTTAACTTCAGTTGAAAAAACGCACCAAGCTTCAATTTTTTTTTCTTTTTTCATCTTTTATTTTATATTACAAAAACAAAAATATCCTTATACTTTAATTTTTTATTTTTATTTAAAAATTATAAAATAAATTTATTAATTTATTATAATAAATAAGTTTTATTTATTATATAATAAATTAAGATATAAATAAAATTCTAATTAATTTTATAAATATTAAATAATTTAAAATTTTTGTTAATATAATTTATATTCTAATATTTTTAATCATCATTTTTTTTTCATTTTACTATCATTGTTATTTTTGTATCCAAACATATATTTTAATTATTAATTTTAATTTTATTATTATAATATTTAATCTCATCATTATAATAATTAATTTTTTTATTATTATTTTTAATCTTATCAAAATTAATCTTATTATTCCTCTAAATAAACTCTAAGAGATGTTGGAGAAGACTCCGGTCAAATTCTTGCACGAATAAACCAGGCAATAGAGAGACTGTGAAAGAGTAGTAAAAAAGAAGTAGACCATACACGTAGGTGTAATGAAATTAACACGATGCCTTCATTCTTCAATATATAATTTTAACCCACAAGCCGCAAAAGTAGTAAAATAAACTTGACACAAGGCCAAGAGCCCAAGACAGAAGAAAGGTAGACCTTTGAAAATATCCGTTTAAAAAATCACATTGTATTTAAATAGATTTTGTAATTTAAAATATAATATAAAAATATGATACAAAAATAAAATATAAAAGCTACATGACTTAAAATTATAATAATTATTATATATAAATTTAAAAAAATAAAAAAATTATATTTTATATTTTTATATTAATGACATAATTTTTATATAAAATAAAATATAAAATATAATTTTTAATATTTTTCGTAACATATAATTTTTTTTTAAAGTTTTATCAAGAGGATAAAATTTTAGTATTAGTAAATAAAAGGTAAGGAGAGACCTTATTAAAAAATAAATCATTGATATCTTTTCAAATCATTAAATTAAAATTTTAAAGATATGTACGTAATTATAAATTACTGTATCTCTGCACTAAAACTGTGCTGGAATATTGTCGTGCTGATTTGGACTTTGGAATATGCAGTTAAATGTACTGGCCAGAGGCATAGGCCCACAAAAGAATTAGAGTATTGTTAATTGTATGTGAAATGATCACCAGAATATTCTCAGAACTGCAAGAAAGCCAAATGCAATCAAGCATATAAACGTTGGTGGGTCTTGCTTGTTTCTGTGTACTGTGAAAATGGGGCCTCCCCCTTCCTCATGAGCTTCTGTCTTCTTTGTTAGTTTCAGTTCTGCCATTTTATGCAATTGAATGGATTCAAAAGAAAAGTCGCCCATGTGAATAATTGTTAGCTAATGTTTTAATATTTGGGACCACTGCAACATGCCAACTTGCAAAGGCAGAGCCTTACTTCAAAAGACTCTTAAGCCATCCCTCCCATCAAATGACAAATCCTCCACTTGAAGAAATCCTAACAGCATATCTCTTAAATTTGCTGAGTGTCTCTCAACAGTCTGCTTCTTGTTTTGTGTTCATAACATCAAATTACAGCACAAAGAAAATGCAAAAAAAAAAAAAAAAGGCTTCTCATTGAGCAAAACAAGGAAGGAATATTGGAATGTATATTGAACATGAACATGTTGACGCAACCTTGTCAAAGATATAATCCCAATGACCAGAATTTGTTTCTATTTGCTTTGGACCAAAATAGAAAATACCCTAAAACCAAAACATAATGTAGTTGTCCATAGGATAAAAAGTTGATCAAGTTGACAAATGGCTATACTCTTTGATGATACAGACCTTGTCATTATGTGTACGAATTAGAAATTGTTTAGACAGAAGTGCAACCACACAAATAAGCTTTGATTGTACAAAAATGAAAAACAAAAAATTAAGGCAATTGCTACTTGATTTCTCTAACATGAACTCAAAGACTTTTATATAACAAGCTAAAAAGAAATTAATGATACACTTTCCTTCAAGAAGCTTGCAGGATAAAGATATAGAAGGAAAATTCTTGATGTGCCAAAAGGAAACCAGAACAGCTAATCTGGAACCACTCTTCAGAATCCATATATAACAGCAGAGACAAAATAGTAGCATTTGGATGTGGAAGAAATTTCTAGTTTCTAAGTGCAGTAATATATCTTGTTGATTCTAAGCCACACACGTCCACTCAAATCAAACTTACAACCATAATTTATGACCTATGGCAAACACATTTGTAGTGGTATGCACTATTGATTGGGTCATTTCCTTCAACCGGAACTTGTTCAGCTCTACATTTGTATTTGCATCCTCTACATTCATTATAAGTGCAGGTAGGCGCTGTGGATCCAATCATCGATCTCCTTGAATTTCTATTCATCTTCGCTTCTTTGCTTCCCTGTGTTGCATCAAAAAAGTTTCAGTTAGAAAGTCTTCAATCATAAAGGGATTCGTAATGAGAAATGAAGCTAAACTTTGTAGTTTGTAGTTGTGCATTTGAAATACCCTTATCTGCAAATACAATGGATGAGATCGAGAGACCCTTTGCTGGAAAGGAAGTATTGCTTGAGTTCTGGATCCTGCAAAATTGGAACCAAAAATATATCGTAACAACTAACCAAATTGTGGCTTGAAACATTACAAATGCAACTTTGTTTAGCAAGAACAAAAGAAGAAAATCCCTTTTTATACATACACTATAAGAATTTTGTTTATAGAAGGGATATATTATATACTCATCTCAAGATTAATTAATAAAAAAAAATGGAAAGATAGTTTGAATGCAAGGAAAGGAACAGCTAGGGGATGATTATGACCTTGTACTACATGTGCTGCAAGGAAAGTGGAGAGTAGCAAAAGTAAGTAGCTTAGTTTAATGTTGGCCATTCTCCCCTTTGTGTTGGAAGTGAAATTAGAAGGTGATATATATTGAGTTGTAGCCCAGTATATATGAAGGATAAATGAGAGAGAAAGAGCTGTGGTCAATTAATGACACTAAGAGATAGACTGGCAAATCTACCAGTGACTCAGAGGTGTGCACACCTAAAAGAGGTCCACAAACACCCAGACCGACAGATTGCTTGTTGGGGCTGGCTAAACCAAGGAGTTACAAAAATGCCCATTGTTCTTTCTTTGATTGGGTTGGATTACTCAGATATTGGTGGGGCTAAAGGGTAAATTTGAGGTGTGTGGGGAATCATGTACATTTGGTCTACTGTTGAGAATCATGCATGCCCATAAGATGAATGGACGTACTCAGCCCCCAATAGAAGCATCCAGGACTTCCAGGATTTGGATCTGTTCAGATCCGTATGATACAATCCCATGCTGGATGAGATTGTAGAAAGTAGAAACTTTAGTCATAGAAAAGAATGATTGATTCTGTTACACTATTTGGTCAATGGAACGCAAAGTCCTACTCCGTCTACGTTCTACAATTTTCGACAAACCAAGATTGAAATAAATGTTCAGGCATGGGAAATGATGACTTCTTATGTTGCTTCCCTCCCCTCCTCTAAAGAATGATTGTTATAACATATAATAGTATAGATTCCAAAATTTATAATTAGATTTAACAAATAAAATTATTATTAATTTTTTTATTAAATATGATTGATCATTTGAATAATTTATCTTTTTAAAGAATTCTTAAATTTGATTACGAATCCATAAAAGAATAAGTTTGAATCTATAAATCAAAACAAAATTCAAAAATTCAGTTACATATAGGAAATGTTATAACACCTCACATACTCATTCAAAAAATAGTACAATTTTATTTTAAATTTATCTTAAAAATCTTGATTTTAATAGTTTTAAGTTTCTATGTTGAATATTAGAAATAATTTTTAAGATTCTCCATCGATCTGGTATAACTCTTAAAAATATTTTTTCACATTAAAAATATTCAAGAATCTTATTTAATTTCTTGAAGAAGCTCCGTTGTCGAAAAAAAATTTTAATTATTTTTTTATTAAAAATACATCTAATTATTTTACTATTTGGGTCAAATTAAAAGTATTTTCTCTTTTGAATTTATAAAGTTTTCATCATTTGGGCATATTCAGAAATTTTTTTTAAAGAAAATGATATAACAATTTTTTTTTTTGAAATTTTATTTAAATTTTTACCCCATTTGAGACAAATTTGAAAGAAACTTCTCATTTAGAGAATTCTTAGAAATTTACCATTTGAAATTTTTAATAATCTCATCATTGGATAATTATCAAATATTTTCAACCAAATTTTTTTTTTTGATTGAAAATAACTATTGATTATTATTATTGAAACTTTATTTAAATTATTTCACCATTTGAGATAAATTTAGACAAAATTTCTCACATAAGAATTTTATAGAAATTTATCATTTGAAATTTTTATAAATTTCATCATTGGATAATTAATACTTATTCTTAAAAAAATATTTTTTTTTATTTTTTTATTTTATTTCAAATTTAATCATGCAAAAATACTAAGAAAAAAATAAACACATAAATAAAATACTAAATAAAATAAATAAAAAATACCAAAAAAATAAAAACGACTTAGCTAGAGGGGCTCGACGCAGCGCGGCTCCAAGCACCAAAAGCAGCTTGAGGGATGCGACTTGGCAGCTCAGCTTAACTCAAATGATTAACTGGTATGCGGGTCAGCACTACGGGTCGAGTCGGCTCGAATAAAAACGCACAAATCCTGAGAGTTTTTTAACCCCAAAACAACTTTATTTTGATGGGGTATAAATAGTAAAAATTCGATCTTTTCTCTCATATTTCTCATTTCCCCTCTCTTTCTTCCTCTTTCTTTTCTCTTCATCTCTCTAACCCGAATGAACTCCGATTGAATCCTTCACCGAATTTTGAAAATCTTATCGAAATCTAGGTTGGTTCATCAAAAGTTTACAAAAAAATTCAACAAGTGCCAAACTCTTCAACTGAATTCTAGAAAATCTGTTGAAAAATTCAACCGACACTAAAAAACTCGTTAGAAACTGAAAATTTTCCAAAAACAATTTTTACCCAAAAAATTCCTACAAATTTCTGAATGTTTTTACATATGCTTTTCCTGATTTCTCTGTTTCTATTTTTATGTTCTGTTTATATCTTTTTGGCTTCTAATCAGTGAGTATTTATAGAGTTTAATCAAAAGAATTTTAATTAACTCTAACTCCCACTTTGATAATATTTCTGCATTATCCCATAAAAATTGAATTCATCCATAATTCTGCCACTACTCCAATCGCCGGCAGTAGGGGTGAGCAAATATTGATTCAAATTGATTTAACCAACCGAAATTAATGAAATATGGTTATTTCGGTTTAGTTTAGTCGATTTTCAGTTATAGTCGATTTTGAGATCGGTTAAATTAGCTAAATCGATCGGTTATCGATTTTTAAAATTGATAATTGAAGTAATCGAATTAACCGATCTTATAATAACTAAAGGTAAATGTCTTTTATATTTTGCACTAAAGTTACGAGAACCATATTTGCTTGATTTGTTTTTTTAAGTTAGCCTATTGACCTTTGAAAACTTGTTTATGTGTTGAAATGAAAATTATTATGTATTGATGGCTTTATTTGTTATTTGATATATATTAGAGTAATAATTTTTAAAATTTATTGTTTAATTTATTTTGATTAAATAAGTTTAGATGAGTATTTATTTGTCTTATTTCTTGTAAAATATTATAGAAATTATTAAATTTTTTAATGATTTAATTTGAATGGTACGTGAATTTAAGTTTTATTATATTAAATTTATTATTAAATAATTACTCAAAATAAGAGAAAATTGATGAAAATTTGATTATTTAACTGAATTAATCGAATTGAACCGATTTTTAGTCAGCTCGATTAAATCAGTTAGTTAAAATTTTGTTAATCGATTCGACTATTGGTAGAATAAAAATCGATTAATTCAATTATTAATTTTTTTCAAACCAAACTAATCGAACCGATTCACTGTTTATCCTTACTCGTCAACACCTTCCTTTTTTCTTTTTATTCTTATCATTATCCTAACACCTAATTAGATATTAAAAAAAACCAAAGAGAAATCAAATAGGAAACGGAAGAAATTAAAGAGAAATAAAAATACATAAACGAATAATCAAAAGATAAAAACTAATAAATAAATAAATAAAATATAAAATATAATGATTAATTAGGCTGTACACGTTGGACTCTATTGGATTAGGTTCGATGGACTTAGGTCCAGATCTTATTGAATCAAGTCCATTAAATTTGAGCTAAGATCAATTAGAGTGTTTACAATGATAATTTAAGATATTCTTTCCCAAATACCAAGCAGATAAACAAAATTTCCTGGCTCCAGCTCGAGATGACTAATGTTTTGAACTTGGGCAATAGTCAAAATGGTTGCGTCCCATGTAGCGAATAAAATCTCAGTGCTCGATAAGCATGGAGAACCATGGTTGGGGATGGGACTGGGACTGGAGCCAGGCATGTGCTGCGGCTGCACTTTTCCTTTCATTCCACATTGCTTTGTTCATCATCAAAATTTTCTTTTTCCTTTTCTTTTTTTTTTTTTGCACAATATTGAGAATGTATTTGCATATTATTCTTCGTCCCCCTCATTACATAGCTTCTCAATAACTAGCTTAAAAGGGCTCCTATTTCCTACAAGTTTACAATACTTCAATTATAAAATTTTAATCATATTGGACGACTTCTAGAATAAAAAATTCTGTAGTAATTTTTTTGGCCAGAAAAAGTTATGTGGTATTCATTCCCCCTATTATTTTTGTCACTTCATTTTATTTAAATTATTATAACACAAATATCACTTTTTTGGGGAAAAAAACTTAAAATTTTATACCATAGTGATATTTTATCCTAACAGTTTAAAATTTATGAGATCCACCGAGCAAACAATTTCACACCTCCCTTTAAAACTTTAGCCTTCTTAAATAAATGATTAATAAAAATTATATGACAAAATAAAAGGATTGAAAGTATACAATGAAATACTGTAAATATTGTTTTTTTTTCCCCCCACATTGACATTTCTCTTTCCCTTTTTTTCCTTTTTTTTTTTTAAGGTTTGCAAGAAGCCCACCATGAATAATGAAAAGGAAAAAACGGTAGAATTTTGTCTTTCCTCCAATTTGGTGATTTCCTGCCCTGTCTTTTTCTCTGGATCTATGTACCCTTACATCGAAGAAAATTATTTCCATTGATAGAATTTAATTTATCGAGAATTATCACATAAATAATTTATTAAATTAGAGAGCATCGTTTGAAGTTTGATCTCTGGAGCAAATCTAGAAGCAAGTCCAGTAGGGTAAGCAAGTTGGGTTTGGATCAATAGCCCATTAAGTGAGGCTGACTGCATAATCCATCACCCAAAATTGAGGTCATATTTGTTCCATGCAATCGGTTCGGAGGAAATTGTCCACACTATGACTACAGGTATAGTTCAATTGTTGGGCCGACTTTGACACTATTTTAGTGTAATGGGTTTATATCCGAATAAACAGATGGCCTGACTCAAACAAATTATATAGTACTAATCGTCCAAAGATATTTTTTCCTTTATATAATAAAAACTCTCCAATAATTTTTGTTTTTGTTATCTATGTAGTTTTGATAATACAAAATAAAATTTAATTTCCAAAAAAATTCACATCAAATAAAAAAATTAAAAAAAAACCTATAAATGTATAGTTGGGCAAACGTAAAATTATAGCTTGAATACAATGCAACGATTCTATTATATGATGATTCTGTTCACATATTTTATAAACATATGAATTTCTCTTATCCTTCATAGAAATTTTTTTTTTCATCTGTAAAAATAAACTAAGACATAAAGTTATAAATTCAATATATTAATATTGATACTAAAGAGTAATAATAAGAAACATTTAAGTCCAATAACCTACATATTCATAGTCCATAAAAGCTTAAAGAAAATAAACAGCTGTTTACATATAATATTATGGGATACTTTTTTTATAGTATTGTTAAGCCCATTAACCCACACCCATAAAAAAAAAAAAAAAGATAATTGTCAACCTCTAATACATTATGGGGATTTTTTTTTATATAGTGCTTTATAGATATTTCTATTATACATACTATAAACCATTATATGCTCACATTTTGAAAAGGAGTGCTACTTAAACAATAAGTGATAATAGTTGTGTAAATTAGGGGAAGTTTTAGATAAAATTCTTTACATGAATTTTGTAAAGTTTTTTATTAAAAATAATTAAATAAAAATTAATAGATTAAAAATTTTCGTTATATAAATGAAATATGTAAATTTTGAAAAAATTTTAATAAATTTTAATATATATTTTTAGATATATATTTTTAGTAAAGATATTAACAAAATTTTTACCGTTTAATAAATATCGATCAAATTTGAATTATAAATAATTTTTTTTTCAAATTGTTGATTTTCATATTCAACTACATTAATCAATTAATTTGAATTTTTTATTAAATTACTTTTTTAAAAAACTTCATAAATTTTATCTAAAAACTTCATATAAAATTTGTAATATATAATTGTATATTTTATTTTTAAAATATTAAATTTTTTATTTTAGTATTTAAAATTCTAAAAATCATAAATAAAAAATAATATTTTCTTATTAGATATTGAAAAGGTTGAACTTCGGGTTTTGAACCAAACTTTTCAAGTAAGAAGGAAATTGGCTTGGCCACGTTTTCCTTATTTAACACTCACTTTACTCCGCACATAAATTTGAAATTCAACGATCTTTATTTAAAGTGACTTTATTTTGGGAAGAATTACAGTGTAGGAATGAGAGCTGTCGAATTTTGTTAATTATTAAGAGTCTTTAACTCCTTGAACACTGGAAAATATTTGGTCGAGAGAATGAATCATAGTTTCTTGATCTGTCAATGGAAACAAGAAGCTACCCTAATAAATGGAAGTCCTCCCTCTATGCAAAACTTGAGGGGACTTTGCATTGAAAATTACAAATCCCCAAATATAAATAAATATAAATAGAAAGCAGTCGGTGCTGGATTTTGAGTAAATCACACTGATGGTTTGGAATGGGGCATACAAGATGAAAGAGGGGAACAAGTTAGAACACTTGGCACATTGGATCACACCCTAAAATCCGAAGTTTAAAAAAATTATTCCAATAAATTAACCACCTTACCAGTTTTGGGCCAAAACTTGCATTTGATCATAAGAAACAAAGTATTCACCAGAATTCATTAATCCATTGTGTTTTGTAAGCATGTTATTTGATAACATTAGATATTACCATCTCCGGACGATTAATATTAGCTAACATATTACCTACCAAACCAAACCCCATAAAGTTATACACCAATATGCCGTAACTGCACATAACTCAAAAGCCCAAAGGCCACCTAATCCCATTATTCCCATCAACTCTTCGAACCAAAAATCTCAATTGATTTTCAAAAGTTAAGGGCTCAATTAGACGTGTGATGAAATTGATTTTTATAAAATTAAAAATGATAATAATGATAATTATAATTTTAAAAAAATTTCATAAAAAAATTTATATCGAATAAACTTTACCAAAATTAATATTTAAATTCAAGTCCGTACAATCCAAATCTCCGCTTAAAGTCACAGCCAGAAACCCAAAATACAAACCCCAAAAACAAAAAACAAAACAAAAATCACCGCAATCGTAGCACAACCGCGCCAATCACGCAGCTGTCCGTGGCTATCATTTTTCTATGCCTTCCGAGCTTAAAGACTAAAAGCCACTTCACATTTCAGACAAGCAACAAAACCCCATTTCACCAAAGCACCAGCAAAAGAACAATCCGGGCATGGGTGGCCACGAAGAAGAGGAGAGAAGTGAGGAGTATTTGTTTAAGATTGTGCTGATAGGTGACTCAGCTGTGGGAAAATCAAACCTTTTGTCACGTTTTGCTAGAAATGAGTTCGACAATAACTCAAAGGCAACTATTGGAGTGGAGTTCCAGACCCAAGTGGTAGAAATTGATGGGAAAGAAGTTAAAGCACAGATCTGGGATACTGCTGGCCAAGAAAGGTTTAGAGCTGTTACTTCTGCTTACTATAGAGGAGCTGTTGGTGCTCTTATTGTTTATGATATTAGTAGGAGAACTAGCTTTGATAGCATTAAACGTTGGCTTGATGAACTTACCAGTAAGTTTGTTTTCTCTATCTTCTTTCATCTTTTTCTTCCTTTTTGTTGCTGATGTGATTTCTTAACTTAGGGAATGTTGAGATTTGAGAAAGAGAGGAAATTATAGTTTTTATATTATTGTTTTTTAAGTGGTAAGAAAATTAGAGCTGAATTCAGAATTAACTGAGCTATTTGGTTGAATTATTGTTTTTGCCATTCTAAGAAAGTTGAATTGAAATCTCTGGATATATTGTCCCTTTTAGCAATCATATACAGAGAGGTTCTGCTACAGTAAATATGATTCAGATTTGGCAACCATGTAGGAAGGTTCTTTTTCAGTGAATTCCTAAAATAAAGATCCAGGTGGAGATGACAAAGCCTGTTTTTCCGCTATGTGTTTACTGTGGCATAAAATTTTTAGGGTTTGCGGTGGTTTTGACTTTTGACTACTCAAATCTTTTTTAATTAATCTACTTTTCCTTTTATTTTGATTGGGAAAACGCGTTATCGTCACCATTATTTATTTCTTTTTGAGTATTTACGGCTTTGCATTTTGGTGGGGCTTGTGCATTGACAAAAGTTCCTTTCATTTTTTAGATTCTGTGTAAAAAAGTTAGTAGTGTACCTTTCTTGGCTGGTGCCCAACTTCCCATTGCTCCTCCTGATGTGAGATCTGATCAGATAATGAGAGGAATTGGTTAAGCAGTGAGAAAATTATTGCATATCTTGCTCATTTCATAAAAGCAATCTTTAATCCCCATGACAACCTTTTGAACATTACATTTTTTTGCTGGAGCTTACTTTTTCTGGTTGGTTTTAAGGAATAAAATATATTATTTAGAGGGTCAGTGGAAACTATTGTTTTGTTCCAGGAAATGTGCAATGTATCCACCTTTTAGGGAATGAAATGGCATCCATGTGTTAGCTTTAAGGTTGTAAAATTTTAACCCCATGTAATTAATCATGCAGCTCATTGTGATAGTACCGTGGCAAGAATGCTGGTAGGGAACAAATGTGATTTGGAGAATATTAGAGATGTCAGCGTGGAGGAAGGCAAAAGCCTTGCAGAAGAAGAAGACTTATTTTTCATGGAGACATCTGCCCTTCAATCTACTAATGTTCAGACTGCTTTCGAGATTGTTATCCGGGAAATCTACAACAATGTAAGCAGAAAAGCCCTAAACTCTGATGCATATAAAGCCGAGTTGTCTGTCAATCGAGTAACCCTCGTCAAGGATGGGGCCACCAACTCATCCAGGGAAGGCTTCTCCTGCTGTGCTAGATGATCTCTAGTCTTTCATATTTTACACTGCACTCTTTTCTCGATACTATTGCAGACCTTGTTTCAGTTTTCCTATGCTCTTACCTTGCGAGTTCTATATGATTAAGTTTGTCATTTTTGATCTTGTGATGGTTATAAAATAAGACTGCATTTTTATTCTTAGATGTTCTATTTGCACTATTACCTCAGACCCACATGCAATGCAAGCCAAATGTGTATCGGCTGATTCCGTTTCATATCAATGTCAATGTGCACCAACATTGCCAAGAGGGAGGATCCTCTGGGGAAAATTACCGCAATGCTATACCTGCAACTGCAAGAACTCCAAGGGAAGCATAAAGAACTTTCAATAAACTAAAAACAGTGCATGAGAGAGAAAGAGAGGGAGAGCTGAGCAGAATATTAAGGAAGAAGTTCATATTCACCTGTTCAATATTATGATGTCTTCTCCACACCGGAACTATCAGCCGAATCTAACAAACAACTAGCGAGAAGTTCTAATAAATTTACATGGTTAGAATGAAAAAAATGGCCCGTCACCCGCTAATGACGCCTAAGAGTTCATTCTACTAACATCAACAAATATTTACACTGGCAGAGAAAGCACAACACACCCGACTCCCACATCAAAGGGGACTTGCTGCCTTGAATACCATTAAAAGAAATTTATGAATACCCAAGGTTCCTTCAAGGTTTCCTCAATGCAGATGCTACACCCATGACAACAGCCAAGATAATACCTACCCCAGGCCCAATGGAGGCACCTACAGCTGCAGATATCAAAGAGGATGACTTGGCTTGAGAATCCTTCTTCCTATCCTACTGCCACAACATTCTCTTACGCCAACTCCAATGAAAGCCTTTCTCTAGCAAGCTCCTTCAAATTGATATGAAACAAGAAACTCCGAAATTATTTATAAGCATATGAACTTAATAAAGCAACAAGCAACTAAATTATACAGTACGTTATAGCAACTACATTGTGTGAATATCACAAATAACCAGTGAGTTGCTTTCATATTTCGTGAATAATTTAGCAATACGTTGATAACAGTCATTCAAAGTTCATCTATTGAAATTACCTAATAAAAAAATTCATATGGGCAAATACACCCAAGGAATTCATTTATAAATGTTTACAAGAAAGCAATTGGGTCATATCCTGAGATGTCATGTTATATTCACCATAAACATACATAAAACTACATTATTTTTGGTGAGGAATAAGGAAATAGTAACTGTTCAAAAACTAATGTGAGTATAATTAGATGGTATAGAATCCATTTCCCTGCACCGATAGTCAGCTGTCCAGTTAGAAGTACAAGGGCAGCAGAACAAAGGCATTTCCGTAATAAGTTTGCAACTTCATGAAGCAAATAGATCCTCAGATTATATGCATTATGTTTTTCTTCAGTAGCTATTATATCATGTAGACATTAGAAAGGTCAATCATTTTAACAACTGCCCGCCACCAATTCGGTGAGACATAAAAAAGTCAATTTTATCAACGCAAATATGTACTGCATGAAAGTTTCAATTTCTATCACAAGATTAATAACTATGAATTTTTTGTTATTATTACTTCACTGTTTTTTAGCTAGTTTCTCAATATACAAATCTTTAAATCCTTTTTCTTTATAAATTCTCCGACGCCTGCAGACAAGGAACTCATTAGTAGCTATGAATATTCAAAGCTATTTATGATCTATAATTGTACCTCCAGGGAAGCCTCTTCGTGGCTCTGAAGAACATGATGGACAAGATGGCAAACAGAATTAACCCCCTCCACGGGGAAAACAGTATCTTTCCTTTGGAAAGGCCTGCGAACAAGGTCAATCGGAGCAGATAGAAGCTTCTGAACACCCATTCTCCCATCGGAATCTCCACTTATTATAACCCAAGCCAATGAAGCACTAGCAGCACCAGGCATAATGTACGGACAAGAATTGATAACTTCAGTGGTGCTTGAAGATGCTTGATATGCCTGAACAACTGTATTAATTGCAGCTCTCTGTTGGTGTGCACTAACAGAAAATTTGTTTGTTATTGCAAGGACCCAAGGTATTCCAAGAGCTTTTGCCTCATCTAATAGTAGTGAAAGGGCTGCGTATTGCTGTGATGCATCTGGATGATTGTATCGAGGTATCGTATGGGATAGGTTATGCACAAGAACAATTAAATCAGTCTTCCTACTAAGGTCATAATTCATCTTTGAACCAAGAGGCCTCCCTGGCCAGCTCCTACAAGTTACAAAAAACACGGGTAAACAAATTACAGTGCCAATTTCTTTAAAGACCTAAAAGGTGGATATTAACTTATACAATACCAATAAAGTTGTAATTACATATTAGTTTCCACTCTGAGACTTTTGTTAGCACCAAAAGACTTAAAGCTATATACTCAATAAATTTAAAACGCTCAATTGAAGGATCACCCCAACTCCACCACCAACCATGAATTCAAGGAAGGAAAGAAAGTCCAAGATAATATGAGATATAATATTTGCTATCCCACTGTATAAGCGTTATCTATCATTCTCAAGAACTCCTCAGATCGATTCAAACAAATAAATCTGTTCTGCATTAAAAGTGGCCAAAGGAATAAGGAATGTTGAAATAAAAGGCACAAAATCTGAGGCCAACTGGCATAAAAAACTTTGAATCATAAAACATGATCTAGTTTCAACTATATTCCTCAGATTTTCACAGAAATCTTACCTGCAAATTTCCTCCAGGTGAATCAGAGTAGCATAAACCACCAGCAATACCATCTTGAAAATCAGCTTCTAGTTGTAGATTTTCAACGTCGGTAATAGCAGTCAATTTGCCTTGACCCAATATTGCCTTGAAAAGAGAGATCTTACCAGCACCCTAGTAAACCACAAATAAAACATTTGGCAATGTGGAAAGCAAAAAATAATACAAAATTTACAAGATGGAAATGAAGAAAAGAATACCTCTAGACCAAGAAGTCGCACCCTACGAATTCTAACATGAACCTCCTTTGATGCAGTTGTAAAATCACTAGAAAAGAATATTAAAAAGTCACTCAAACCTTCTGGCCTTATGTATTTTTCTTGATGAGATGATGCCGTATTATGTTCTCTTTTGAGATTAACTGTGTCTGAATCAATTGAAGGAAACGTGGTCATCAAAGAATCTGCTATTATCTGATGTTTAGGAGGTCGCCTCAAAGGAGCTCCTATTAAGACTCTTATTTTTTGTAAATCTGGTGGTTCCTCATTCCCAGATGAGTGACCTGGTGCTGAAGGAAATGATTCCAAAGTAGTTGAACACCTGAATCAGAACCAAAATCATGTAAAAATGCTTATCATGAACCAAGGTATGAGAGAGGGATTCATGCAACTTTGAGCATATATTTACATGCATTTGTTTGAATGTCACATGTTGTCCAGAAAAAAAGGTTCAGCATGTATTATTTTACTAAAGCTGTATCAAATAATGAATTGAACACTTGTGTGCATTTCGATTCAGTTGTTGTCATAATACTTTTTCAGTAATCCTGATCAACAAAAGCAGGACAGGTTCTTTTATGAAAAACTTAAACAAACCCAGATTGAGATAACAGAGAGAAAATCATTCAGTTAACCAATTGGCAGATGATTCAACCCTGACAGTTTCCTTATGTCTATAGGCAGTGACTTCATATTTATCCAAGACAAGGGGAAAATAGAAAAGAAAGAAAAATAGAGGGAGAGAGAACTAGTATTAAACCAGCAGAGTTGTTATACTGGATGTCGACAGTTGTTTTATCACTGATCTGATTTTCAGTATTAATTCCCAAATCTGGTTAGCTTTCCTAACTGTATCAGGATTCTTATGCTTAGTTAGGGTTACTTGGCTGATTCTCTAGTTAATTTAGCTCCAAGTTAGAACTATAACTGGGTTCATATCGTCCAGAGTAGTTGACCTTAAACCTGCTCAATGTTAGCAAAAATATTAATGGAAAATAAATCTTTGGATCAAACAAACATATGGAAGCACAATGCGGTAGATAGATCCAAAGAGTAACATCCTGAAGAATTAAGAACACGTCTCACCATATTAACTCGACGTCAAAAAACATTCACAAAAATAAAAACAAAAATATGAGGACAAACAACCATACCATTTGCCATTTACTTGAGCATGAACCAGTGTGCACAGATGCAACCTGAATCCAGTAATAACAACCTTCAAAGGTTCTGTGTTCTTCTCACCAGGAACACCATTCCACCCAAAAGGCACGATGGAAGTAGCCGTACGAATAATAGGAGACTCAACAAAATGCCCAAGCTCTACAGCACCTACGACTGAAAGTCCAAGCCGCTGTTGCAGATGTGGAACTGTAGCAATTGCTCCATTCCAAAGAAAGATGAAGCATTATCATTCATGCACAGGTTGTAAATTCTGCAAAAAAAACTTAATTGAATCGCTTACGCAATCCAGTAATAAATGTGTCTAAGGACTAAGTATTCAACTGGCGTATGCATATCCCAAATAAGGATATATTTTATCTCCAAGAAATACTCAACAGAATAAAGGTTCCCAAAATTCCACCTCAATGCCACATGCCCCATTTCTTAATTATTCAATAAATTTCATTACTTTTAGGCATAAAACTAGCCAAAGTTGACATAGAGAGAAGGGATAACAAGAACAAACAGGCACAAAGAAGAATGAATAATGAGAAGCACAATATCAAGTACATGATGATCAGTAAAACATCAAATAAAGATAAATTATAGACCTGTTATCATTGCTTATAGTGGTTCTTGTGTAAATAAGTTTACTAGAGGAAGACCAAAGCACAAGTAACTGCAAATCGCCAATCTGCCTAGCAATAAGAAGCACAGAAGAAGCCATCTGGGATCATCAATTGCCAACCGGCCAAGTGTGGATCATCCAGAACATACAACAGATGTGGCCTTGAAATTAATTAAAGACTTCTAATAATGGGACTAGCACTTTTTTATAGCCAGTCCATTTATCGTTCTTCAGTTTGACTTATCTTTTTCAAATGGACGGGAAACAGTTACAGAACCTAGAGACAAAAAACCCCAAAATGCCCATGTTCTGAAGTATTAATATGAAGCCCACCCATTGATGCAAAACTTAAATTTTTTAAAAGAGAAAAAAGAACTAATAAATAATACTTGGATAAATAATA